AGTCCTAAAGCTTTGGGGGCTGGATCCAGGTTAGCCAGGGTCTGTATCTGGCCCCCAGGCCTTAGGTTCCCCACCCCTGCTTTAAACCAATTTAATTTGAAAAATTATGCATTAGTAAATTTGAAAAAAAAAAGTATTAAATGAGTTAGAATAATTGCTCCAATACATCATTTTCCTTACTGTTTCGAGGGCCAGATCCATTACACAGTGAAGCCATTGGAAGATTTGCCTCTGGCTTCAGACAGGAGCATTGCGGAGCCAACAGTGCAATAATCCATATAAATACAAACTGTGCGCATATATCTGAATAGTCTCATTGAAGTACAGTCACTTGTGTCTGCTTTAATAATTACACATTCAAACAACAGTGTATGTCAATGTGTGAACATATGCATTTAAAACTGAAGTAAACGCATAAAAACTCTGTATTAGTATTTGTTAATTACATTACTACAATGGTAGATATGAGATTTTAAACACACAAATTACTCACAAAATTCATAGTTAATGTTCCCACCACATCATAAAAAATTCCACATATATGAAACAGAGCTGAGTTATATTTGCTGTGGGAGTCATAGCATTAAGGCTCAGATCCACAAAGGTATTTGGTCTCCTAAACTCCACTGATTTAAATGGAAAACCTTGGGCATTTTGGTTTAAATTTTGTGACTTTTGTGTATGTAAACTCTCAATGATAACATTACACTAATATCAGTTTCTTTTCATTTTATAGGTTTACATATTACAAACATGTCACAAGATACAAAAGAAATATTAAGGCCCCCATCTTACAAATTACTTATTGGATTAATAGTACATAACGTTTAAGCATGTGAGTAGGTTTGCCAGGTGTCCAGTTTTGAATCGGACAGTCCAGTATTTTAGCTTTCTGTTCGGAAATCAAATTGAGAAAATATAAATGAGGAAATATAAATGTCCAGTATTTTCTAAATAAGATGTAATGTAGATTGTGATGTAATGTCAAGCGTGTCCGGTATTTTTGTTGAAACCATCTGGCAACCCTACATGTGAGTAAGTGCTTGCAAGATCAGGGCCTGCAACTATATTGCATAAAGGAAGAACAAATATTAAATTAGACAGATTCAGCTTTCCACAACACCTGAGAAAGTATCAGGTCAAAATATAAAATATAAATCTACCATTCCAGTCTCTTAAAAATATTATATACGAATAAAATAATGGTAATTTCATGCCCTCTCTTCATAATGTCCATCTACATGATACCAACAGAGTCTATCAGCAATTTATTGGAGCAATTCCTAGAGGAAAAAAGAGGCATACAAAGATCTGGAAGCTGCACATTGATGTAAATAACGTGCTGGAAAAAATCACAAAAGATAATGTAAACCATGGTAAGATATATAGCAGAAAAGAGAAGAAAAATGCATTCCCTGGGGCTGAAAAGTTATTGAAAGTTCAGAGCCAGGGTAAAGCCAGTTTACAGTGTGTGCATGGAATTTCCTTGTCTGTTCCCTACAAATAAATCAGTGGTGGCATTTACACCGCAAAAAGTGTGTGTGTGGGAGGGAGTTAATAGCCAAACTGTGTAAAATTCAAAGATGTACATTCGATGTTTATTATTTTAGTTAGAAAATGGCTTTGCTCCTACCCTGCTAAAGGAGACACAGAGCACATTGGAAAGCTGGGGGGGGGGAAGAGAATGAAATACAAAAGCACTTATGTGTGGTGTCTAGCTTGGCAGAAAGGGTGCCCAGCTTCCAGCAGCAACAGCTCCTCTTCGTGTTCTGGGGCTGAGTTATATGTAACAAGCAGCAGCCGCCACCGCCGCTCTAGCTCCTCCGGAGCTGCGAGATCAGCTGAGCCTTGGTGTCACGTGGGCTGTGTGTCGAAGGTCACAGCGCTCACAATGGAGCTGTCGGAGTATGTGCAGAGCGGTTTGCAGGTCCTAGCCGATTCTGGCTGCTTTTCTCCTAGAGCCTACACGGTTCTGCTCCAGACGGCTTTCCAGAGCCTGCTCAACACCCAGGCGGACCAGGTAGCTTTAGGTAAGCGCTGCTTTTTGAGTAAGAGCCAGGAGAGGAAAGGAACCCGCCTAGCAATGTCTTTCTGAGAGCTGGAGAGAGACAGGAAAAGGGATCTATTTTTATCTTCTGCTACGTGATTGTGACTTGTGTTGGAGCTAATTGTAGCTAGTGCCAGACCCCTAAATCCCTGTGCTGTAACGCAGATTATGTCACCTGCACCAAGCAAAACAAACACCGGAGTAATCGCTTGTCCACAGAGTGCTCTTCCCCCATGTTTGTAATTTCACTGCAGAAATAACTGTGAATTTCTCGCTTGTGGCCTAAAAGAGATTGCAAGCTAAATGAAAGGAGCCTGGGTATTTGGGGCAGTTGAGTTGCTATCGCTTCTTGTCCCGGATGGTTATTTGAAACAGCCCTAGGGGAGGATAAGCCCAGTATATTTGCCAACGGGAAAGGTTAATATGAAGATGGCAAGGGTCAAATTTGTAGGTGACCGTGAGTCCAGTTTGGTTTTGGCAGCCGTGGTCCCAGTCTTTAGTTGATGTCTCCTTTATCAACATATAATTGATAATTCCCAGTTCCCTTTGTTTTCAGTGCAGTTTGTGTCATAAAAACCGGTTTCCTGGTCAGTACATGCAAAGTGGTACTGTGTTGACATTTGACATGCAGTTTCGCACAGCAGTAGGGTGGAACAACAGGATTTGTTTTAATTATTCGGCTAGAGACCGCAATATAATCCACAATGTTTATTTGAAAATGTAAATCACTTTGGGGTGGCTGTCGGTATAATTGTAATTGTTGAACACAATGTTAGTGTACTTGGTGAGAGGGGTTAATCAGCCGTTTAGTGAAATTTAACCTGCCGATAGTTCCGAAGTAAATTATTATTCGGAGGAGTAGTTACACTAAACGCGAGTGTTTGAGTGTTTAATTGTGTGATGTATATAGCAATTAAAACCAGGGAATCCGCTTATTTGTGTCCGTGCCTTCCCTGGGTCACGAACAAAAAATGTGTTTGTTTTGGGGTTTTCCCCCCTGTGGGATGTTTCTTCCTATGGCAATCGCAGTAAATCCGTGCAATTAGTGTATCATTTACATCATTCTGTAATTTGATCCTTGGATTTAATTCCATAAGTAAACTGAATAAAATGGGGATGGGGAAAATTTAGAAGAGGGATTAGGAAAAAGATCTAATATATTCAGAAAAAACGTGGAACCTTTGTATTTAGAGTCTTAAATTTCATGAGCCGGATTCTGATCTCAGTTACACCGGTGTAAATCCGGAGTAATTTACACCGATGTAATCGAGGTCAGATTTTAATTTTATGTCTCTGGTGATAGGACTCTGAGAAGTGCTTACGAGTGGCTGAGGGAATTTAAGGGATACTTAAGATTTGTAATGGGTTGAGGGAGATGCTTGTACTCGCTTATTACTGAAACTGTGTTACCAATGATTGCTCACATATGAAAATAACCTGTCTTTTTTGTGCTGTATTTGGTTTAATAAATTAACTACATATTAATTACTCTCTAAATTATAAAGTATTTTACTTTGTAACTTCTTAGAATAGTCCATTTTACAAAGGAAGAAATGTCCTTTTAAGTTGTTTTCGGGCTTCAAGAACAAGTATATCACTAGTAATTCATTTATTGTAGATCACCCAGAGTTGAAACATATTGACCCAATAGTATTAAAACATTGTCATGCAGCAGCTGCAACTTGTATACTGGAGGCTGGAAAACACAAAGCCGACAAATCCGCGATAAGGTACTTGGAAGCCACCCTATTTTTCTAGTGGCTGTTACTTTAAATTATACTGCTAATTTATATTCAAAGACTAATACACTTCTGTTTTTCTCTCTCTAGCACATATCTAGAAGACTGTAAATTTGATAGAGAGAGAATAGAACAATTTTTCACCGAATATCAGGTTTTACGCCCATTTTAAACTATATTTCCCTTTTATAATTATTCATTCCGTAGAAGTTGGCAAATACATGTTTTTCTTTTTTCAGAAAAACAAAGCTACGTTGGAAATCATATTGGGAAGGTAGGTTATTCTGTCAACATAAGTCATTTTTCAGTTATAGATAGATATTAAACAAGTAAAAAAAAAACCCGGATATATCGTGGGTGGTTTATAATGAGCTATTTAACATAGCAAAAAGGTCCAATTGTTTAAACAATTTTAAACAGAATATTAACTTTCCTTTTCGTATTTAACACTGTCATTTAAATACAATTGTAATTTTTGAGCAGTCATTTGAAAAAATCGTAAAAACATCCTACTGTTTGTTGACCGTAACCCTTGAAACAACTGACCTTTACTTTTAGGGTAGGGTACACATAACCACTGTATCTTTCAGCATAGGCAGATGTCCTCTGCACATAACCGATGTTTCTTGGCGCCTGGAATATCAGATCAAGGTAATCTTACCGCATTAGGAAACTTTGATTTGATTTCCTTCTCTGAGATTATGTCTGATTTGTATGTGTATGTGTGTTTTGTTGTTACTTTAGACCAACCAACTTCATAAAGCTTACCGACCTGCCTATTTGGTGACCTTAAATGTGGAGGTAGGGTATATCACTTTTCCCAGGATAAGTAGATAAAAGGCAAATACAAGCTCGGGACACATTTTAATTAAAAGGTGTTATTCTTCTCCTTCAGAACAACGACTCAAGATCACACCCTGACGTTAGTTTTAGTTGCACTATGGAGCAATTACAGGTATTTCTTTATATCATTACTGTTTCTATATTTGACTCCAGCGCTGTGAATTTTGATCAGGTGTCAATCAACTACAAAGTTTGCTAACAGTTCAAAAATATATGGGGTTGCAACGAATGATTTTTGTAAAACATGTTGACTGAAATATTTTATTTTTTCTCTGTTTCTGATGTGAAGTTGCCTTCTACACTAAGAATTACTCTTTTGTTGGTAGAGTTTTAGAAACGGATAGAAATCATTTCTTATAAATGTAATGCTAATCTGAAAGGAAAACCACCAGTTTTCTACAACTTTTATCTCCTGTAACACAGAGAAAATATAAAGGAGAGAATGGTATTTGGATAACCACTGCATCATTGATTAAAGTGATAAACTGAAGAGTTGTAATCGGTGTTAATTGCACTTAAAGAGAAAGTACTGAATTGAAATATACATTGATCTCTGCTTAGCAGTTAAGCATGTAATTAAGTAGTGAGAAGGCTGTTACATTGAATATATTAGGGAAAAATTGAAAGAATGTGGGGTTAGAGGAATGCAAAGATACTACAGTTACAAACTTCATGCTCAAATGAAATGTTTCCTAGAAACTTTGTTTTATTTGGAAATATACATATAATATATATTGATTAGGTTTTGCTTAGTGAATTAAATGTAACGTGCTTTTACTTCAGAGTTGTGCTGGTATACAATTTAACAATAAATAGTTTCAAAATATTAGAAATTAATTTAGCACATTTTAATGATAATTGTGAATGCACTGCTGATGCAATCTGTGTTATAAATGCACTTTAATAAAGGAACCACGTGAAAAACTATTTGTTGCAAATATACGTGGGACACTTAAGCACTGAAGAATAGTAAAAGTTGTTTGACATTTAAATAATGTGTATAAAATACGAAAGTCATCTTATTGAGATAAGTGCTGCTGTTCCCATTTTAACTATGTAAAAAGATTATGTATTTTGTTTCTTAATAGCGAGCTTATTATAAAATCAATTCTAAAATGACGTTCTCCATCTTTTAGGATTTAGTTGGAAAACTAAAAGATGCAGCAAAAAGCCTAGAAAGAGCATCTCAGATGTGATTGTCAATTTCCTTCGATCTACCGGCTTCAAGAGGAAGAAAAGTTCACTGAGTCTTAACAGTTTCTTCGTGGGGAACATGATGAATCAATTTTCTTTTTAAATACCATGTAGTTACAGACTCTTAGACTTATTACTTATCAGCTATTGAATCTGAAAAATCTCTTCTAGTAGCTGTATCTCTTCTGTAACTACTATTTACCTATGGTCAAATGTATGTTCTTTGTAAAAGTCCTGTTTTTCTCATTACAACTATTCTTAGGTTAGATGTCAGATAATTGGTTTGTCTTTAAAATATTCACTTTCTTTTACTATGTGCATCTGAAATTTTTTCTGATTTTCATGTATAATAAAATGGATTAATTTCTTCTCTCTATTTTTGGGTGAAAAGTTCAGCAGCTACGTTTAAAAGGGACTGTACAGTTACTTAGAGATACAGTATAGTTGTTCAAAAGCCAAAACAATTCAGTGCGATCCTGTTAAGATTCTATTGCTATCATTTGTTAAATGGCAATGGAGTTCTCCTCCTACTGTTGTCTCCTTTCATTTCAAGCGATGCTGCATCTTGTGTGAGATTAAAATTTACTCAAACTTTGTAGTAGGAGATAAAACTGCCATTCATTGCCCCCTATTCACTCATTTAAAACCTAGAGCAAGCACCACTTTGTCGAGGCAGGCACCACTTTGTTCACGGGGTGCTCTTACTGAGGAATCCATCATCTGGTATTTCGGTGAGGATGCAGAGTTGGACCTGCGTTGTCTTCACAACCTCTACACAGTCACCTTCCACTCACACGTATTAGCTGGAAGCCTGTCCCTCCACAAGTTATACACAGTGGGGAAAAAACAGAGTCGCTTCGCAACTCTGTTTCCCAGTGACCCTCGTCCTCTCAGCTGTTGTCTTTAATCAGCAGGCGAGCAGGGACCTCAAGGGCGGAAAAGAATAAGACCATGTTTAAACGCGAGAATGGTCCCTGCAGTCCCGACTGGGGCAAAAAGCGGAGAAGCTCAGGTAATAATTGCAGCTGTTGGCTACGGCTCTGCCCCTCCTTGTTAAAGTTCAGGAGGGGGTTTATTGCTCTGCAGCGAGTCTAGATGGTCTTAGGAGGGGAGGTAATACAGGACTCGCCTTGCCCCCTCCTCTATCCATCGGTCAATATTCTCAGAATGGTCCCTGCAGTCCCGACTGGGGCAAAAAGCGGAGAAGCTCAGGTAATAATTGCAGCTGTTGGCTACGGCTCTGCCCCTCCTTGTTAAAGTTCAGGAGGGGGTTTATTGCTCTGCAGCGAGTCTAGATGGTCTTAGGAGGGGAGGTAATACAGGACTCGCCTTGCCCCCTCCTCTATCCATCGGTCAATATTCTCTGGTATGGTGGAACGTGTCCATCAGCCGGGAGCCTCCTGTTCACACAGGGGCTATACCCAGCGGGGGACAGGAGATGAGCGCAGCGTCAAGCAGCAGCGCCGTGCCTGGGGCGCAAGAGGGGGGTCCCAGGCAGTTGGGGTGGGAGAGGCAGAAGGAAACAGGGTGTGCGGGGGGAGGAAGGAATTTGACCATGGAGTAGGAGGGAGCCAGGCGGGCCAAGACTATGCGCTGGGGACGGTCTATACCGAGTGTGTGTGACAGGGCGTGGGGAGGATTCAGGATGGGTTTGATGGGGGCGGAGGATGCCGGGGAACAAGGGTCTGGCTGAAACAGGGAGCCAACGCGTCTGCTTAGGAGGAAGCAAGCAAAGGGGGAGAGTTGGGGCAAAGGATAAAGTGGGAAGCGAAGGCGGCCCGGGGAACTTGTGTCTCCAAGGGGGCGAGGAGGGGAAGGTGGACGAGTGGCGGGAAGGCTGAGGGTGCGTGGCACGTGGATGTGGAGAAAGCGGGAGGCAGGCGGCGTGTTCTGGGGAACAGCTGTGTGGAAGGGCAGCGGGGATAGCAGCACGGGATGCGGAGTGGGGCTGGGGAAAGGAAACTGTATGTGCCTCGAGGGGGCAAGTGCTAGGAGCAGCGGGACGAGGGTAAGGCGTGTGCTCAGTGGGGCAAATCCCGAGGCTTTGGCTCCAAGTGCGGCCCCAGGAGGCGATGCGCTGCGAGCCGGGGTTGGAGGGGGGAGAATGGACACATGTGTGCCGCGTAGGGCAGAGCCGGGGGAGGAGAAGGCAGTTGGGAGGGGGAGGTGAAGAGGAGTCAGGTCTGTGTGTACAGCGCCCAGCTTGGCCCAGGAGTGCAGAGTAGGGGGCAGGAGATGTGAGGAGGCAGCTGGTGTGTGTAGATGTGGGGCGAGGAGGAAGGGGCAGTGTGCGCGGCACCGGGAGGAAAAGGGGCGAAGGTGGAAGGAAAGGGGGAATCGGGGCTCGCAGTGCCTGGAGGGGACTAGGGATCGAAGAGGTGCGGAGCGGGGAGAGAGGAGGAAAAGCAAAGTGCGCGGCGGGGGGAGGAGAAGTGGGGAATGAGTGTAAAGTGGGGGCAGGAGGTGGGCGAAGCGGCGTGTGTGCAGCGAGGAAAAGGAGGCATAGGCAGGGTGTGTGTGTGCGCGCGGGTTGGGGGGGAGGAGGACCAGGCAGAGTGTGTGTGGAGTGGAAGGGGGAGGGGTGGCGTGCGAGGAGGAGGGGGAGGCGGCTGAGTTGTGGGATTGGGTCATGGGGAGGCTGACGAGCTCCGACTACACCGACACTAATTCCCAGGCCACCCTTAAGGAATGAGGAGCCCCACGTGATGCTGGCGGGGCGGGCGAACTCTGAGCCATTTTGGGGACGGTGTCAGTTTCCACTGTGTGCCTTCAGCGTTGCATTTTTTCCCTCCTCCGCCCTCCCTTCCCCGTTTCCCCACCAACAGCTATGAAATAATAATAATAAAAAGGAGAGCAAGAGGCAGAGCAGGGGGACGAGGGGGAGACAATGGGCTGGTGGAGAGAGAACCCATCCGGATTAGAAAGATTTTAAACTCCCTGCTCCTCGGCCACCCAAAAACCCAACTCAGAGGGAGAGAGCGAGGGAGTGAGAAGGGTCGGTGGAGGAGAGGAGAAAACCCGCTTGTTTTGTAACTAACATGAGCTGAGAGCAGCAGCAGCAGCAGCAATAAGCTTATTGCAATTGACAGCGTCTGCAGTTCATTTCAAGATGGCCGCTTGGCTCACATTCATTTTCTGCTGAACGACTTTTAACTTTCATTGTCTTTTTTGGCCGCTCCGATCATCACCCACCGGCTCCTTTTTCCGGGTATGTATGAAGCGAGGTGTCTCCTTGCCAAGGACGGGGGGCGAAGGGGGCTTTGCGGCGGGTTTAGGCCGGTTTGGGGGATGCAAAGGGGAGCCTAGATGTCCCCCAAGCTCTCTGTATGGGAAAAGCGCTGACAGGCTGCTCCAACCACACACACACACACATCGACACACAGCAGCAGCCGCCTGTGCACTCACTTTCGTTACGCACCCACATTTGCAAATTTTAGTTCATTTCTTTCCTCAGCTGCCCCCTAAAATGTTTCTGTGCACATGGCCCCCTAGGAGAATATTTATATTTCCCGTCCTTGCTTCCAGCCCGGCCTCAGCGCCCTTTGTTTAAAGGCAGATTTTGATTAAACGGGGACGGTTCATGAAATCTGGAGCTGCCTAGGTCAAGTGATTTCAGTCCTCTCCGAAAGAACCGTGCTTGGGGGGGTTTAAAATGTGAGATACTGCACCCATTTTATAGAGATAGGGCCACTGGAGGGTAGGGAACCCCCTGGAAGGGTTGTTAGACCGGGGGGGACCGCAAAGAAAATGTTATTAACTTAAGTTGGACAAACACTTCTATGAAATTTGATGGCTTGTAAGATGGCGGTTCCCAGTTGTTTCCAATGCCTCCGTTTGCATTTGGGCTTAAAATGCTAAAGTTTCTAGACTTGTACGTCTTGAGGGGGGCACAGGGGAGACCAAAGTTGAAAGATAACTTTTTGGGGAAGAAATTACTTTGACTATGATCCTTAAAGTGGGTGTGCTTATTTACTATAACGAAGCTGGTGTGACTGCAGGACAGAGTGGCTTTTTGAATGACTTTCTTTTAACTGGTATTTTCCTTCTAAGCCCGGGAAGGATAAATTAACATGAAATTCTTGGTAAAGTCTTGACGAATTTTCTCCTGGTGCTGATTTTGGGTGGCATTAACAAGTGGATTGTGTATGTTTATGGAATTGTGTGGCCTTGACAATACACAACTTGGAGTTTTCCTAGCTATTTACTGTTAATATTTGGAAGTAAACAAGATAAGAGAAGCAGAAAAAATGAATTACTATTAAAGGAAATCCGTCATTTTCCAGAACCTAGAAACTAAGAGTCGTGTCCCGCTCTCTATAAAGTTTAGGAAAATGTAGTCAAATATATCCATCGCCAAGTATAGCTTTAAATAGGTTTCTGCACAGTTTATAGTAGCCAGTTTTACTTTATTTTACAGGACTCTTGAAGACTAGAGAGATTCTGGAAATTAATCCAGTAAAATTGCTTAGAGGGACAATACAGCCCGTAAACTAAGGCAGACTTTTCTTGCAATTTACCAGAGATGCAAATTATTGATCTATATCAGACCATGGCGATACTTACAAATTAGCATGTTAATTTGTTTAGGAAGGCTGATTGCGTACTTCAGCTAGTTATATTTCTGAACCTGATTTTTAAGGGCTGGGAGACTTTTACCCTCTGCTGCCATTATTTGCTTTACAAATATGTTCTTTGGGG